GCTCATATCACCCTCCCGGTGAGACTCACCCAAGTAAGTCTCCTCTAGGTCACCTGAGACCCATGTTGGGGAGGCTTCTTCCAGATGAGACCCTCTCTAAGGGAGGCTTCCCTCCAGGTGAGGCCTGCTGTTGTTATTAGGCATCACCGACTCGGACTCCTAGCAACTCTATGTACAACAGAATGAAACACTGCCCGGTCTTGTGCCAGCCTCATGATCCTTGCTATATCTGAGCCTGTCACTGCAGCCACTGTGTCAATCCATCTCCCTGAGGGCCTCCCGTTTTTCACTGACTCTCTACTTTACCAAGCATGATATCCTTCTCCAGGGAATGGTCCCTTCGGGCCACATGACCAGAGTAGGAGAGACGAAGTCAGCCAAGGAACACTGTAGCTGCACTTCTTGCAGGCCCTACTGACACCATTTTGAACATATCGACCATGCGTCCCTACTTTCTTCCTGTACTGTTTTTCCCCCATAATGCACGCTGTATTCAATTGTCTATGGTTTAATTCAATCTTGAAATGGCTGACCATCAATCAGTCCTTTCTGGAACAGTGGCTCTGTGCATTCCTCCCATCTTCTTCTGATGCTTCCTGCATCATTCAATATTTTGCCCATAGAATCTTTCAATATTACATCTAGAGCCATGAATTTTTTCTTCAGTTCTTTCAGCTTGAGAAATACCAAGCATGTTTTTCCCTTTGGTTTTCTAACTCCAAGTCTTGGTACATTTCATTATAATACTTTTATCTTCTCAAGCCATTCTTTGAAATCTTCTGTTCAGTTTTTACTTCATCGTTTCTTCTGTTTGCTTTAGCCAGTCTATGCTGAAGAGCAAGTTTTAATCTGTATGCTGAGAAAATCACCCAAGAAGCTGAACATATGAACAAACACGTGGCCTCAGGATTTGAGGAAGACTCATTAACAGCCCACAATACGCAGATGACACAAGCTCGCTGAAAGTGAAGAGAACTTGAAGCACTTACTGATGAAGATCAAAGGCTACAGCCTTCAATATGGATTCCACTTCAACATAAAGAAAACAAAAATCCTCACAACTCGATCAATCAGTAACATCTTGATAAATGGAGAAAAGACGGACATTGTCAAAGATTTCATTCTACTTGGATTCACAATTAATGTCCATGGAAGCAGCAGTCAAGAAATCAAATAATGTACTGCACTGGGCAAAGCTGCTGTAAAAGACCTCGTGAAAGTATTAAAAAGCAAAGATGTCACTTGGAGGACTAAAGTGTACCTGATCCAAACCATAGTATTTTCAATCACCTCATATATGCGTGTAAAAGCTGGACAATGAGTAAGGAAGACCAAAGAACTGATGTGTTTAAATGAGGGTATTGGTGAGGAACATTAAACATAACATGGACCATCAGAAGAACAAACAAATCTGTCTCGGGCAAAGTACGACCACAATGCTCCTCAGAAGGAAGGACTGAATGACTATGCCTCACGTACTTTGGTCATGTTATCAGGAGGGACCGATGCCTAGAGGACATGATGCTTGGTAAAGAAGAGGATCGACAAAAAAGAGGAAGAGCATCAGTGCATGGACGACCACAGTGGCTGCAGCGATGGGCTCAAACAGCCACAGCTGGGAAGACGGCGCTGCTCTGTTACACGCGGCACCCTGTGAGTCAGCACCTAACGACAACAATGCCACCTTGTGGGCAGGCATTCGATACATGCTCAGACAGCCACCTTAGGTGCACCAACGGAACACTGCCCTGTCCTGCAGTCGCCATCCTCAGGACTACGGCATGTCTGAGGCCGCTACTGCGGCTTCTGAGCCAACCTACTTCACTAAGGGCCTCTTTCATTCTCACTGGTCTACTTCATCAAATAACTGATCCTTCCTGATGACATGTTCAAAACAAGCCAGTCGAACGATGTTCTCTTATGCTCCACAGGGTTTTCTCCTTGGCTAACTTTCAGAGATAGAATGGAATGATGTTTCCCAGTCTGTCTCACTCTGAAAGCTCTACTGAAACCTGTCCACCATGGGTGACCCTGCTGGTACCTGAAATACCAATCGTGTAGCTTCCACACCACAGCAACATGCAACGCACCACTAAACAACAAACTAACACATGGGTAGGGGCTCTGGTAGCATAGTACCTAAGGCACTTGACTACTAACCAGAAGGCTGGCAGTTCAAACCCACCAGCCACTCCTCAGAATGTTGATTGGGCAATCTACTTCCGTAGTGATACTGTCTCAGAAACCCAAGGAGGGGTCACTATGAGTCGGGTCCAACTCAATGGCATATAACAACAACAACAACACATGGGTGGTGATTAACACATACTTACTGAAATAATCAATGGCTCTCTCTCTTTTTTTTTTAAACTTGAAATTTTCTTACCAAAGGCTTTTAATGACAAAATCAGATGTATGGCCTTAACAGCTTTCAATATAAAATGAAAATAGTTAGAAATTATATTTTAAAACATCTAATTAGCATAATCCAAAGTCACAGCTCACTTACCAGCTGTAAGTGTTCTCTGGCTTAGGAATGGGATCATCAAAAAAGGAATCTCCTCCCAAATCCTCCTCCTCTGGGCTAGCCCCAGCTTTGTCTCTGACATCTGAAGACTTGTTGCTCAAGAAAGATCCGATCTTGGTTTCATGGGCCAGTGAGTGGCGACTGCTTTTGCTCTTTGGTTCTGACGATGAGACACTTGTGTCACTGTGACTGGTCTCACTGGACTTCTAGAGAAAGCAAGAGAAGGAAAAGGGGGTACTCACGTGCGCCCCATCTTGGTGAGATAAATCCTTAGGACACCTGGCAGAAGAAGGAACCACCTGAGCCTCCCCGGATCCCCACGTGTATACGAGCAGTGTCTACCTTGTCTCACACCACCACCCATGGCACTGCTCCACCGGACTGATCACTTCTGTCCTGGGCTTCACAGCAGGAGTCGTTACAGCAGAGGGAAAGTGTCAAAGACACATCTCACTACCTTTCCTTGTCTTCCTCCTGAAATGCAAGTCTCTTCACTATCCCTACCCCATTTATAAAGGGCTGCCCGTCTCCTCCTATATCTGCCACTGCTGCACACATTAGTGGGGTTTCAACCGGCAAACAGGAGAGGACATTCCTACTAAAGAGGAGGAAAATACTTGAGATCACGAACCAAGCATCAGAACCAACAACACTTCAGTGAAAACAACAGTGCTCTGTCCAGTGCCAGCCCAACCTGCATCAGGACAAAGACGCTGGCTACAGCCATTCGCGTTTCCAATCTGAAGCCTTTCTAGTTCAAGTAATTACCTGAATCCAGACTCTCAGGCTAACTCCCTGACCTCCACCTCTCTGAAAGGGCCGTGTGTGTGTGTGTGTGTGTGTGTGTTTCTCGCTATATCTTAAACCAACTTAAAAAACTCTCACATATTCTTCCCCATGTCCTACTGATAAGGTGATACTAGCACAAAACATCAGCCTGTATTTCTTTGTTTTCAATTAAATACTACTTCTACTGCCTCGGAAACCCAAGGAGGGGTCACTATGAGTCGGGGCCGACTCGACGGCACACAACAACAACAACAACAACAACAACAACAACAACTCTCCTTAGCCAGCTTTCTTTTGGCCCTTACACGTGTCTATGTCAACTTCCAAGAACAATAACAATAATGAAAACAACAAAGAAGCTAACATTTACTGGATGTATTCAAAATGCTTCAAACGTGTCGTCCCATTTAATTTTCAAAATAACCTCCCTGGCCTAGGGTCAGGAATTACTGTCTCTGAAGAAAAAACGGGACACTGAGCCTCAAGTCACCTTCTGCGATCACCAACTAGTTAGGTGCTGGCCAGGGTTTCTCCTTGGCTAGTCTTTGGAGGCAGACTGGAAAAATCAGAGTCAAACTCTGATTCCAGAGTTTAGCTTTTAAAACAGATGCTACACAACTAGGTCCAAATGCATGAAATCACTCTTTTTTGTAGGTTAAAATGGCAATTTCCGAAGATTCAGACTTGCCTACTGAAGAGAACAGTACTGTATAAAATAAATGGGGTGCATCAGAAAAAGCATTCCACTCAGAGAATCTGCAAGTTAGAGCATTCAAAAACCCAAACCCATTGCCATCAAGTTGATTCCAACTCACAGCACCCCGAGAGCACAGAGCAGAACTACCCATAGGGTTCCCAAGGCTGTCAGTCTACCAAACCCAGGGCCGTGGAGTTCATACCAAGTCATACCCCTAGAGGACAGAGTAGAATTGCCTCACAGGGTCTCCAAGGCTGTCAGTCTTCACAGAAGCAAAGCTCAAACCAAACCCACTGCCATGGAGTCGATTCCAACTCAGAGAGTCCCTAGAGGACAGAGTGGAACTGCCCACAGGGTCTCCAGGGCTGTCAGTCTTCACAGAAGCAAAGCCCAAACCACAC